AAAAAAAAAAAAACACACACACACACACAAAAGAATTGGCTCGGCGTAGTGGCTCATGCCTGTATTCCCAGCATTTTGGGAGGCCAAGGCGGATGGATTGCCTGAGCTCAGGAGTTGGTGACCAGCCTGGGCAACATGGTGAAACCTCGTCTCTACTAAAATACAAAACAAATTAGCCAGGCGTGGTGGTGCACGCCTGTAGTCCTATCCACTTGGGAGGCTGAGGCAGGAGACTCACTTAAACCTGGGAGGCAGAGGCTGCAGTGAGCCAAGATCACGCCACTTCACTCTAGCCTGGGCGACGGAGCAAGACTCCATCTCAAAAAAAAGTTTAGCCAGTCTCCCCACCCTCGATTGAGTTTCTTTTTCTTTCCTTCTTTTTTTTTTTTTTTTTTTTGAGGCAGAGTCTCGCTCTGTCACCCAGGCTGGAGTGCAGTGGTGTGATCTCAGCTCACTGCAACCTCTGCCCCCTGTGTTCAAGCAATTCTCCTGCCTCAGCCTCCCAAGTAAGTAGCTGGGATTACAGGCACATGCCACCGAGCCCGGCTAATTTTTTGTATTTTTAGTAGAGACGGGGTTTCACCGTGTTAGCCAGGGTGGTATCGATCTCCTGACCTCGTGAGCTGTCTGCCTTAGTCTCCCAAAGTGCTGGGATTCTAGGCGTGCGCCACCGCGCCCGGCCCAACTTTTGCTCTTAACTCCTCCCCAGTACTGCATCTGAGCATTTGCAAATTGTTCTTTTGCTCCACAACCCTCAATGGCTCCCTTAGGTCCTGGGGGGTGAAGTCAGATCAGCTGAGCCTGGCGTTCAAGGCTCCTCTGGGATCTGGTTCAAAGAAATTTATAGGTAAGATCAGGCTGAAGAGCTGGACTCCTCAGCACCCATTTTTCCCATGAAGAAACCAATGCCCAGGGAGGGGAGGTTCAGTCTCCTGCCTCTGGAGTCCTGCCCGTCACCCACAGCCCCACATCGCAATCCCCGATGGCTGCCCTGACTCACCTGGCTTCTCCCGGCCTGTGCCCTTACTCTCTGCAAACTTCCTGAGTAGCATCTCCACGCTGACGTTCTCAATGTTCTGCTTAAATTCCTCATGCACCTGTGCCAGGTGGGCAGGGCGTGTAACTGATCAGGGCCCCCTCGCCCAGCAGCGACCCCAGCCTCATTCCTCACACCTGCCCTGACTCACCTGCCCGATCTGCACATGCGTGTCCTCCACCGAGTGAGCATAGGAGCCCAGCAGTGCCTTCATGTGCCTCAGGTGCGTCTCCTCCATGGCTTGGAAGCGCTGAAGCAAGAGGGGACAGGCAGGTGGAAAGAAGGTCAGGGCCAAGAAGGAGTGGCCATGTGACTCAGCCTGACCAATCAGAACAGCCTAAGCCACTGGCTCAATTTGGGGAAAGGCCAATGAGAGTCTGCCCTAGGAAAAGACACCTTTCATTCCCGAGCCAATGAGCTGATGGGATGTAAGTGGGGGTTGCTGGTGGCCACTTTGCTGCACACATGTGCATACAATGCACACATGTGCACACACACACACACACATACACACAGGCATGTCTGCTGGGAGTCATGTCCCCAGAGAGGAAAACAGACTTAAAAAGCAGAAATGGTGGCCAGGCGTGGTTCTCATGCCTGTAAATCCCAGCACTTGGGAGACTGAGGGGGCGGATTATCTGAGGTCAGGAGTTCAAGACCAGCCTGGCCAACATGGTGAAAACCCATCTCTACTAAAAACACAAAAAATAGCCAGGCGTGGTGGCGAACACCTGTAATCCCAGCTACTCAGGAGGCTGAGGCAGGAGAATTGCTTGAACCTGGGAAGCGGAGGTTGCAGTGAGCTGAGACCATGCCATTGCACTCCAGCCTGGGCGACAGAACGAAATTTTTCTCTCTTTGTCACACACACACACACACAGACACACACACACAAGGAAGCAGAAATGGCCAGGCACAGTGGCTCATGCCTGTAATCCCATTACTTTGGGAGGCTCAGGCAGGCAGATCACTTCAAGTCAGGAGTTCAAGGTCAGCCTGGGCAACATGGTGAAACCCCGTCTCTAAAATTATGAAAATTAGCTGAGTGTGGTGGCACGCACCTGTAATCCCAACTACTCAGGAGACTGAGTCAGGAGAATTGCTTGAGCCCAGGAGGTGGAGGCTGCAGTGGGGCCAAGATCGTGGCACTGCACTCCAGCGTGGGCGACAGAGAAAGACTCTATTTCAATTAAAAAAAAAAAAAGGGCCGGGCACGGTGGCTCACGCCTGTAATCTTAGCACTTCGGGAGGCCGAGGTGGGTGGATCACCTGAGGTCAGGAGTTTAAGACCAGCCTGGCCATCATGGTGAAACCCCATCTTTAAAAAAAAGAAAGAAAGAAAAAAGAAACAGAAGTGCCCAAGTTCTTGCCAGCACTATTTGAGCACCTGGATTCAGCTACGCCTGAAATCTCCACCCCTCAAAAATAAAACTTTCAGTTCCCTCAGCTTATAAATCACCTTGTCAGTTTTTAAAATTTGTTTTATATATATATACCTTGTAAATTTGAATGAAGGTTTCTATCACTTGCAACTTGAAAAACAT